GCAGGCTCGAAAATTTTCCTCCCTACAAATTGACTAACAACGTACAACTGCAAATACAGTATTAGGCAAGCTTGGGAATTTCAAAGTTGTAATTAATGTTTTTCAGATTATTATCCCTGTGAGAAAATTTTTACAAGTAACTGAAATATATGCATGCCTCAAGTGTCTATATAGCAATGTAAATTTTCCAGTAAATTTTGAATTGGCAATTTCTCCAGAAAACACACTTTTGTAGACAAAGATACTCAGCCAACTTCAGCTCCATTGCCCTTCCAGCTGTAAAGTATCTCAACAGCAAAGAAAAGCAAAATACCACATAGAATTTTTGGTTGTCCCAAAGCTCAAATCATATACTTGGTAAATGCAGTTTGGGTGCATGCTAAAAGTGGGACTTGAGACAAGCACATTTCAGAAGCAAGACATAAAACACAAAACTAACGTGCCAAGGCTTACCCATATACATCTTCAAAATGCTCATCCCCTCTTCTCAGTAGAGCACAAGTTTTAGGCTTGCTTCCAACTTTTTTTTTTTTTGTCAACCTGCAGACAGCCTAAATAACTGAACCCTCCAAAGGGTAAAGTATCTCGATTCTTTCACAGTCAAAATATTGACTTAGCCACACTCTGCAGTTGGCCCTAAACAAGGTCAGAGCCTAATCTGCTGCAATTTTATTTTACCTACCAAACCAAATGTTCCAAAAACATTTTCACAAATTAATTTTCCCATTTTAAAGAACTTCAGTTAGTTCTACACAGGCACAATCCTGCAACTGCACGTAGCCTTAGTCATCCTGCTTACGGGCCTAGCGCTGGAGTCCACTTCAAGGAAACTCTTTATATGCTAGTTAACAATAGTTTTAAAGAAAGCCGAAAAATAGAGAGTTGAGGCAACACTGTTTTAATGATAGGTAGAAGCATTTTACAGATGTTCATAAAGGAGAGGAAGGCAACTCCTCTACATGCATTTAATTCTCCACATTGAGAGGACTATAGGATTTGATCTGGAAATATAAGCACTTTGTAGTTTTAAAATGGGAGAATTCCATACCAGTACCATGTATTCAAGTGTGGACATTACCCTGATGATCAGGCCAGGATATAAACCAAGATATTTACAAACATCTAAGTCTGATTGCACTTGAGTAAGATTCTTACCCAATGTGTGTTTAAAAGAATGACTGAAAATTGGTGGGACTCTCTTTGAAATAAACATGCTCAGGAGGAACTGAGTCCCAAGATACTTCAGTACCAAGAAAGCTGCCAATCTCAGCAAAACCTGCGCATATCAGCTATTGCAACCATTTAAACTGTCAGTCTCAATTAAAGTATAAGCATCCACTGTTGGCTTCATATGGTTCCGTGTTACCTTAAGATCTCCCAGGAATTGCTGTTTTTAAGCTTATTCATATTTAGACGTTAAAGCATACAAGTTTCAAGTTTCTAACAAGTCTGTGCAGAACACACACTCATTCTTGTTTTCATTGTATCAACTATGAAGATTCAAATCTTCATTCCTAGTTTGTATTTTTCATACTGAAAGAACTTTACAGGCATTCCAAGCACCAGACCTTCAAGCTGCAGCTTTGTTTACAAGTATTTAAAAATGCAGTTACCTGAAACCAGCACTCAAGTGTAGGTGCTTCAATACAGAGCACTCATCATTATTTCACTGAAGTTTTTAAGAGATTGTAGCCCATGCAGGAGGAGAGGACTACATTAATTATCTTCTGCTTAAGGACTGAACAGAAGAATCTAGAAGGACCAAGAAATCCTTGGTTCATATTCAGAGCTAGCTGCCTAGTCACAGAGAACTGCAGTTGCGACCATCATTTGGGTGGTACACTCCGCAATGCTCTGATGGGGTTTTCTCAGTAGTGTCACTCACTACCCTACAAAGCTAGAGCAATGCTCTTAACCAATGGATGACCACAGGTTAAAATGCTGGCAGCCCAACAGAAACAGCTTAGGAAAAATGCTCCACAAGAGATTTGTAAGGTTGAAGTTGACAGCAGGTAGGACAGAACTAACAGTCATAGCAAATTTAATTCTATATTCCAAGCATCATACAGACTCTACTTCTCAGCCAGAAAAAATTCTCTTGAACAAGCTGCTTTAGTTTCTGCATAGATGCTTAATAGTTGTAGGATGTCTTCATGAGTAGTGGAGGATACTTGGCCTCCCCTGTCCCTTCCTATTTGGGTAGAAGATCCGGCTAAATAGCTATGCAATCCATCAAGAAACCTAAACATGCAAACAAGAGATAAACAGCATCCAAAAATGATTTTCAATACAGCCTATATAACACTGTAGAACTATAACCTATAGCTAATGTTTATGGATTCCTTTTAAACATTAATTTCATTCAGAATATTTTTGGGCTCATGGAGCACTTAAGGGACTGTACAAAACAAAAAAATCTGAAAATATTTTAAATCCAGGGATTAATAAAAGCAAAGCAGCATTAACTATTAAAAGCTCAGCTGTGCACTATCATCTTCACTAGCCAACTGATGCAGAGTAGACAGAAGGTATATATTCAGAGGCTTGTGATTTCAGTTCCCAAAAGCCTCAGCTAGCATAGCCAATAGTCAGAAAAGGTGGGAGTTGTAGCTTCAAACTTCCATTAAGGCCACTAAGCTTTAAGCTCCCCCTAACACTTCTCAAAAATTACAAACTAAGAGGTGTTTTTTTTTGGGGGGGGAGGAATATTCTGAGTATTCAGAATCTACCTCAACTGTGTTTCACTCTAAAAATGGTATTATAAAAAATAGGGCCATACAACACAAATAGTTTATCCCCTGGTGCTTCTGCTTTGTTTTATCCAGGGACAATTCCTACCCTCCCCACTCAACCATGCCTTCCCTCCACAAATCCCAGAGCCTAAACCACCCATCCCCAGATACAGTCCTTTCATCTTCTCTAATGTATGACTTAGCTTTCTTTTGCACACAGGGCTGACCCATCTCTCAGTGTTCCCTCAACAGTCAAGAATGCTGAGGAGTTGCTGCCCAAATCATCTGAAGATCTACCTTCTGCCTGGCCTAAATGCCACTGGGGTGATGAATAATGTAACACCTCTGGGGATGGAGTTGCAGAACTGGGGTGGTACTAAACAGAATACTGCAAAATTAGAAGTACTGCAGAAGCTATGATCCTTTATTCACTCCAGTCTCAAAAGGAAATACTACTAGCCATTAATAAAGAAGCAGTAAAATTTTACCTTTCCAGAATTTCTGATCAGCTGTAGTTTAAGTGCAGCTTTTCTTAAAGGGACATTGTAAGGTGGGTAGCTTGCCAAAGGGCTCAATACATGTCATGGTAGGTTGCTACTTGATCAGCAATGACATATATACACCCAATACTAATAATCTTTAAGAGATTAGCAGTGTGTACATGAAACCATGAATGCTTAGTGTATTTATTCATATTTATATCCCATCTTTCCACTAAATATTAGTGCTCAAGGTAGCTATCAGTAAACTAAAACTGAAAATTTATCAGAACAAAACATTGCTAAGGACAAAATCACACCAACCAGATCAAAGCCTACTTCAGCTTCACATTAGTTTTTCTGCCAAACACCTGATGGCATAAAAAAATGTATTTGCATTTTGGTGAAAGACAAAGACTTAACTTGGCATCTCTTGCCTGGGAATTTCAGAGCCTGGGAGCAATCACTGAGAAGGTCTGGCTCCTTTTTCCCCCCTTTTTCACCTCTAACAGTGGTGGGATAGAGAAAACAAATTCAGAATCAAGACACATGCAGAGAGGTGGAAGTAGTCTTTCAAATATCCTGGTCTCAAGTCATGTCATTAATAGCCCCACTCTGAATCATGTCAGGAAACAGACCAGCAGTCAGTGGTTTAACAAAGGATTCGCATGCCCTCTATAACCAACCCTGCCCATAGTTTGCCTGAGATATTCTAGACCAGTTGAAGCTATCTATTATGCCAAAACAGTTTAGTGAACAGTATTTATAGTGACCAGATAAAATGTGTGTGCCTTCCCCACCCCACCTTTCAATGGAGCATTTTCTATCACATCCTGCTGTCATGAGTTCAGCAAATTATACCTTTGAGAAAACAGTTTTAAAAACATTGTATCAGTTGTATTTATTTCACAGAAATCTTATTGTATTCTCCCCCAATCCCATGAGCTTGGAAAGTCTTCAAGCAACATTTATTCTGATCTGCAGTCAAAGAACTGATTCCTCTCTCATTTCTTACACCACAGAATTTGTTTTCCATCTCATCACACACTTAAAGGAAGCATCTCGGAGTTTTATGTAGGAAAGGCTCTGCATGGGGGGGAAGAAAGTTCTTGTAAACCCACAAATCAGCTTTCCATTCTCCTTTGAAATGCTAGTCCAGTAATCATATCCTGGTGAACAAAACTGGCAAAAATCCTACAGCTCTGTGTCCTATGCTGACCAGCATGGTGCTGCCCATTCCGTGCAGTCTATTTTTGTAGTTATATATAGGCAGCCAACCTCAAATTATATTTTAAAATATCAGTGCATAAGCAAGATCAAACTACGGTGCATGTGCATTGATCAGTACACATGACCTTGCTTTTTGTTTTATTTTGATATGGTTTGTAGAGCCATGTGGCTCAACACAGTTACTCAGAAAGCTTATCAGGGAAGGAAAACCTTAGCAAAATGACTTCAAAAGGAATGTTATCTTTAAGAGAACCTGTCAATACAACTAAGGAGTCATTCACCTCTTCAATCATCTACTATATTCCTTCTGTCCCTCCCAAAACCTTCCTTTCAAAACAGAAGATTGCACAGTAATCAGAAGATGCCAGCCTGGAAGCAGTTTCATTGCATTTTGCCTGGAAACATGTGATGCCAGTGATGATTTTTTTTTCCATGCAGACTAGTGGAACAATTCATGCAAGCACCACCCACATGAAAAATAAGTGGTACCTGTTTATGAAGGGCTGTATCTTATTTGATCAAGAGAAATGGAACAGCAAAATACAGGCTTTGTTTTTACCTTTTAAATGCTTCAGCTGGGTTCCTCTCGCACTCCCCTGGCTGCAAGAGACTTTGAACAGCAGGATCTCTCAGTTTGTCTTCGTATCCCTGAATCAGTCCACTGCGACATATCTGGGCAACTAACCCTCTAATAAACCCACCCACACAGAGAGTGTCAGAGTCCTGAGCCCTGCAGAAGTGGAAGGCCAGGGCTTGGTGATGTAAGCCCCTCTGCAGACTTGCAGGTGAGCTGGGCCAAAGCAACTCAGTAGAGAGGGCTGTCTTGCCACTCCCAGGCCCGCCTACTAACAACACACCCCAGGCAGCTCCCTTGCCAGGGACAACACAGGTATTAGTCCCAGAATTCAGCACAACAGATGGTTTGTTGGCAGTGCTGCTGCTGCAGCTTGTCTTTTCCTGGAGGCAGTGCTGAAGCTTGTGGAAAACCCATTCTCTACAATAAAACTGCTTCCCTTGAAGCAAGCTGGTCTGAGCCATTTTATAGACTTTCTTCTCTGGGACAGGTCAAAAACAGCGACACATTTCAAGCTTCACAGAAGACAACAGCTCCTTACATCCAAGCCAGTGTGAACATTGCACGGAATGTCATCACAGGACACAACGCAAACCACAAACTCTTCACCCCCTCACATAATGGACAGTGGCATCATTGTATGGCAAGAGGCATCTTCTCTTCCAAATGCGCTTTCGCTTAGCACATGGTGTATTGCTGCTCATCCGATTTAGATGCAAAGCTATGTTTGATACCAAGGCTCAGTGATACTTCCCATATGGCTTAAAAGGTCACCCAGTGCCATGACTTCAGCTGCGACTTATAGGGATGCTTGGTCCTCTAGGCAGATAATGTATGTAAAAAAGCAGAGCTGCTAACATATACCCTGAATTCCCACATGGTTTTTTGCCTCTCTACATTCCATTCATTCCAAAATATATTTTTATACCCACCCCCACAAAAACTCCAACTTCTGCAAACAAGCTTTTTCCCCCTTCAGTGAATGCAGTTTATATTGCAAATATATAGGTCTGCCTCACTTCTTCAGCACTAGTTAGCTGAAGTTCACACAAGCTTCCGTGATCCAAGAAATCCCCTCAAATTAGGGTGCTTAGTGATGGCAACAAGGTGGGAACAGCAAAACTTTTCATGCAGGAGACAGTCAGCAAATGCATTCCTTTGTGATCTCATGTTTTATGTGAACCCTCCCGGAGTCTGAGCAGCAGATGTCACAATGCTCCATTTTTTCCATGGGACCTGAAAATAATCATAAACACTAATTAGTTTGCATGCAGAAATTATTTCCATCTTAAGTAAAAACAACCAGAGCAACTTATCTGCAGAACAGATACATATCATATTAGGAATCCAAAAATCAATTAGCGTCATGTGCACTGTGACCTGAATTTTGCAGCTTTTTCTTATTAAGAGAGGAAGCACCTATGAGTAGCAGCTTTGGAATCACATATAGGTCCCTATTCCTGTAAGCAAGTGACTTTGAAACACCTGAGCCCCAAGCCCACCCCAAAGTCCAGCATGCACACAAGAACCCTGTCCTTGGCTTGGTCCTTCAAACCTCTTTTGTACCTGTTTGCTGTTCTGTATACCAGCACTTCCCCTACAGATTTCTGCAGCCCTCTTTGTTCAGGCTGCTAGCATCAAGATCTGGAAGAGCCCTCAGAAACACGTTTTAAGTGATCCTCCTCCTCCTCCTCCTCCCTCGCCCGCCCCTACTTGCTCTCGCTCTCGCATTGTTGCCGTGCAGCGTGCTGTCTCTGTCATCTGTTCACTTCCCTCGGCCGGATCCGTGCAGCAACGCTCTCGCTTTTTCTTCGTCCTAGGCTTTGTCTCCCACCCTGCACGACTAGGCTTCGCCTTTCAGCTGATTAAAAAAACAAAACAAAACCCGGCACGACGCGACGACACTCCCCGCCCGCGACCGTTTCTCTGAGCCGTGGAGCGAAGCCCTCGCGATTTACAAAGGAGAGAAAAGCAGACTCACGCGAATAGCCCAAAGCTTGGCCCGTCTGCTCTCCAGATCCAGCCCTTCGAACAGGCACACGCCCTGGTCCCCATCCCCCTGCCTACCTCCTCCTCTCCCAGCGCCAACACAACACAGATCGTCCAGCGGGGCTGAGACACACACACACGGCGTGCCCAGCAGAAGGAAGAGTCAGGCGGCAGCAAAAGCAGCCTCAACCCTGCTTCGCTTCATACAACGGCCTCTTGGCAATCCCAATCGATGCACTTGAGAGTCACGGGCGGGTGGCGGAGAAAGAGTCCCGTCCCCTCGCCGTTACGCTTCTCTAGCCACCGCCCCCCCCGCCCCCACTCCCCGTTGCCAACTCCAGCCGCACTCCTCCTCCTTCGCCCTACTTCGTGGGATTCAGATTTCAAATGCACAGACACGGTGTAGCCTTCGCCTACAATCCCGACACTGCTCGTGGCTCTCCAGTTCGGTTTTTTGTATTACCTTTGCTACCCTTCATCGCATTCATTCAACTGCTAAGAAAGGAGCGCCCCACGCGCGTGTCCCGCAAAAAAAAGCACGGCGCGAGCTCCCAAGTGTCAGGTCTCCCGAGCAGCAGCAGCAGCAGCAGCAGCTTGCCTTGCACAAGAGAGGCGAAGCGGAGTAAAGGCGCTGCAGCAGCCCCCTTGCATGCGGGGCAGAGGCTTGCGCCAGAGAGAAAGAAAACGAAGCAAAAACACAAGGAGACAAAAGCTTTCCATGGGGCGCACGCAAAGTACTTGGCAAGGGTCCTACCGCGGTTCCTGCACAGACCGGGATATCCCCATCCGGACAGACGGCTTGCGCACGAAACCTCGCGCTCCCCCTGCATGCATGTGCATACGTGGGCCCGGAGGTTCCTAGGGCAGGCAAGTCAGACTGCCTACCCTACGCGGGGCAACCCAGACCTCCAACTCCGCTTCCCTGCTCCAGCCGTTTAGAACGAAGGAACCCGTCCGCTGCAGCCCGGACCCAGATCCAGAGCGAGGCCACCACAAGGACGAGGGAGGTGCTTGGCTGCCCGAGGCCCCTTCCCAAACTCTCCCTGCACCCACGCCACCCCAGCCGGAGGGCAAACCCCTTCCCTTTCGCGGTTGCTACCGCTCAATTACCTTCCCTGTTTCTTCGCTGAGCCAGGCAGCGGCAGTAGCTGCAGCCGAGTCTTGCTCTTTCTGCTGCTGAAGCCGCTCCCCTAAGGCGGGTGAACGCAGAGACAGGCGTGTCCGCCGCGCTTCCCTACGCCTTGTTCCTATCAATTCCCCGCGGGGCCGGCCTTCCGGCGTCTCTCCCCCTCTGGCGCTCGACCGTTGCAACCCCAAAAACCACCCCGCCCCTGCCTCTCTCTTAACCTGCTAGATTAGTCTGCCTCCCTCCGGCTCCGCCTCGTCGCCTGGCCTCCTAAGCCACGCCTCTTCGTCGCTGGCCACGCCCTTCTCCGCCCGGGTAGATGTTTTGTTTATTGTGGGCGTGAAAGGGGCGTGGCCAAGCAGCGAGGATGCGACTTTAACACCACCTGGGTCGGAAAGAAATCCCTACCGCGGAGGAGAAAGGACTAATGTAGGTGATCGGTTGAGGGAGTTTTTTTTATTGCTCTGGGATGCAGTTTTGGGTCTCCGTTCCCCCTTCAGTCTTCCCTGTTCGTACGCATTGTTTGAAATCACGATGCTGAGCAGGTTTACTTGGAAGAAAGTAGTGCTTATTTCAATTGAGGTTTGCTCCCAAGCCATTGAGCAAAAGATTGCTGGCCGTATCATTTTGATGCCATGTCCTTTGCTAGTTTTGTTCAACTTTGGAAACTGCTATACAAAGCTGTTTAAAAAAGCCAAGAAACAAACAAACAACTCAAGCAAGCAAGCGACCACAGACACTCTCACGAAATACCAGCAACGCTGCTTTATAATACTGCTCTCAGTAGGGAATTTATTTTCCTTCGAGGGTTCACATCTACATTCTTCATGTAATTTTAATAATAATTCAGACTTCTCCATGTTTACTCAGAAACAGATCCCGCTGTGTTCATTGGCAGCCTCAGCCTCAAGCCTTTTTTGATCCACTGCAATATAGACTTAGAATTGGTGATTTACTAGCCTGTTCCATGCGTGGGCGTGCGCTCACAAACATTTCGTGCTTTGCAGGAACGTCCAATTTTGAGACGCGAGAGAAAATCTATTCGAATAATATAATTATGGTCGCAATCCTATGCAGCATAGTTGTCCGGGAGTTGTAGGACTTTTTGCTGCCTAAACATGCATAAGATTGCGAACGAAGTTCCATTTCCTTTGTAGAAAGAAGGCAACTCTGTTTGAGACACAAGCTACAATCCCATGGCAACTTACCTGGGAGTAAGCTCCGCTGAACTCAACGGGCCTTACTTCTGAGTAGTCATGTATAGGATTGCACTGTTGACGTATCCAAATCCTCCCCGTTTCGCCCTTTGTCTTTAGCCCATGAACGACGGGAAAGTCTGACGGAGATGATGCTCACGATGCTTGCTGCATTCTTCTTGCTGCCGTGGCGGTAGACCAAGTTCCCTGATAGTGAACTGGATCAGCCAGAAGCAGAAGCCGTACCTTACTCAACCAGACTGTCCTTTGTCCTCACGACTCGCCCAACTCGCAGTTCCCTGCTCTGCTCCTGCAGAATTAGGGCAAGGTCTGGGACCCTCCCTTTTCCAGTCCTGGTGCCAGGAAGACATAAGAGGCGAACGCGACGCGGGCCGACGCACCCTGACTCAGGCGCTTTTGCCGGTCTAGTGAAAAATTCTGCATCTCTGTCAATACACCTAGCATTCTGTTTCGCTGTTTCTGCGCATGCTCCAAGCAGCAGCAGCAGGAGCAGCAGCAGCAGCAGGAAAACCGGAGCATGCTCAGTTTCTACCTTCTCTGCTCTCTTTTGATGGCTAGTTTGAACGGGTCTGTAACTGTATAATAAAGGAAACTAATCTGATCAGTGCCACAGCATGGGTAAGCAGGAATAAAACATGCGCTAGAAGAGGAGCTTTCTGAAAATTGTTTTTTAATCTTGCGAAGTACTTGCTGAAAATGGAGGGAAGGGGCAGAAGAATAATTTACTAGGTTAACCCTGCAGCTCCATATATGTCTATTCAGAAATAAAAATCAGTGAGTTTAAAGAGGCATATTCCCATGGAAGTGCCTAAAGGACTGCAGCCTCAAATCCCTTCAACTGTGAGACAGGGAATGATTAATATGTGAATTCTTAAATACACCCTATCAGAAAATACATTTGATGGGACTTCTACTAGTCACTGATAAATCATAGGTGATATGTTTGCAGATGTTTGCTTTTGTCCTGCAATCACCTGTCACAGACATCATCTTCCATTCATATCTTCCATAACATTTCCCATGGTTCCTCTGACTTTTTTGTTAGCAGAAAAAGAAAGAAAAAAACACAAAGAGAAAGATATGTTCAAAGGCCTTTTGCCTGGTAGTGCTACAAGTCTGCTGTGCAAAAGGACCCTGCGGCACCTGTCCTGAAAACAAGGGAATGTATGTAGGCAGCAGTGCTGGAACCGGCTTGTTTTATTCTAGCTGCAATGCTAGGCAAATGGTCTCAGTTCCATTTCAGTTATAGAACTGAATTGGAACTGTGGAGCTTAAGAGGTCATGTAGTCCATCCTCCTGCTTAATGCAGGAATCTTGCTTGGATTCCACTTGGATGGGGGACAGCCTTGTCTTTCTATATGATGAATAGTTTAATCAACCACACTGAGGCAAGAGATATTTGGGAGAGCAGGGCAGCTTTCAAGGTCACCAGGGTCTTAAGAAGAAGTGCCTGCTTTGGACTGCACATGCCGTAGTATTGTCTGAAAATAAGTTATGTTTAAGATGCAAAAGTAGGCTGTTGTTCTCTGAACTTGCTACAGTTTATCCAAATACTTTTTCAAGTGTGATGCCCTGAACTGGTCATAGTATTTGAGTTGAGGTATGATTACACTTAGAATGTTGTGTTCAGTTCTAGTTACCTTACCTGAAAAAGGAAAAAAGTCCCTTGATGTAAATGACTAGAACAGCTCCCCTGCAAGAAGTGGCTACATCAATTGAAACTATTAAGCTTAGAAAAAGGCAAAGAAGGGGAGATATGTAGTACTGTTTAAAATAATGCATGGGGTAGAGAAAGGCTTTTTTACCCTCTTTCCCATTACACTTCATTATCCCATGAAGCTGACTGGTGGGAAGTTTAGTACAGATAAAAGGAAGTACTTCTTCACACACAATATTGTTAAACTATGGAATTCGCTGCCATGGGAGGTGGTGATGGCCACCAATTTGAATGGCTTTAAAAGGGGGTTGGAAAGATTCATGGAAGAGGAGAGTCTCAGTGGCTACTTGCCCTGCTGGCTATATGCTTCCTCCTTTATCAGAAGTGGTATGCCTGCACACACCAGCTGCTGAGAAGCTTGGGCAGGCAGAGCTCTTGCACCCATCCTGCTTGACGGATCCTGCAGGCAGCTGGTCTGCCACCGTGTGTATGGAGCGATGGAATAGATGGAACTTTGGTTTGATCCAGCCAGACCTGTTATTACATGGTCTGTCAAAAGCAGAACTGGGTGGAACTGTCACTTCCTTGAATGCTGAAACTATATGTCTGTTGAGACAACCTAAAATTGCATTTGCCTTTTGAACAGCCACATCATATTCAGCTTGCAATTGACTATAGCTCCAAGATCCTTTTCACATGTACAATGATCAAGCTAGGTATCCCGTCTTATACCTGTACATTTGATTTATCTTTCCTAATTGAAGAACTTTGCACTTGTCTTTGTTAAATGTCATCGTGTTACTTTCTAACCAGCTTTCTAATGCGTCAATATAATTTTGCTATTCCTTCCTATCTTCTAAGGGATTACCTGTGCCACCCAGCTTTGTGTCATCTGATAACCCTTTTTCTCACTGTTCCTCCAAGTCATGAATAATGATGCTGAAGAGCACAAGACTCAGGGCTGATTCCTACCGCATCTCACTTGATACTTCCCTTCCGTTTGATGAGGAACCATTGATGAACATTTTTGAGTGCAGTTCCCAGTGGATCTACCCACAGCCTGCTGTGGCTAGAAATCTGCTAATCAATATCATGGAGCATTTTGTCAAATACCTTGTCAAAGTCAAGATATATTATGTCCACAGCATTTCCACAATCTGCTAAGGTAGTTACCCAATGAAAAATGAAATAAGATCAGTCTGACAAAGTCATGCTGGCCTCAACTGGGTACTGCATTAGTGGCAATGTCTTTAAGGGTCAAATGTTTCATAATCTGTTTCAAAACCTTCCCATACTGAAGCCAGACTGACTGATCTCTAACTGCCCAGATCTTCCTCTGTGAAGAGAAGGACATTTACCCTCTTCTAGTTCTCCAGTTTTTCACCTGTTCTTCAGGGAATATAGATAGAAGCCCCAAAAGCTCACATACCAGATCATTTCACACCTAGAATGCAGTTGATCTGCACCTGGGAACATGAACTCATTTAAGAGGCTTAAATATTCCCTGACCACTTGTCAGGTACACTCCTAACCCCTTAGCCTGTTTATCACACATTAAACATGGAATGCATCTTCTTTTGGGAGAAAACTGAACCAAATAAGAGTTGAGCAATTCTGTATTTTCTTTGTCACCTGTCAGCACTGTGCCATCTTCACTGAGCAAGCTAGTCTACCATTACTGTTGTCCTTTTATATAAGCAATTAAGTCCTTTTTATTATTTTTAGCAGCCTTCATCAAGAACAGCTCATTCAAGAACAGCTCATTCTGAGCTTTAGATTTCCTGACATTTCTGCATTTACAAGTTGTCAGCCTGTAAACTTCCTTAGTGACTTATCCCTCTTTCTACCTTGTCTGTGTGCTTTTTAATTTTCACATAATTGCTAAGTTTTTTGTGTAGTCACATTGATCCAGCTCACATGATTAAAACAGTCCATTATAAATTAAGTCACGCTAGGGTATGGGTGGGATTTGCATAGTTAGCACCCAGCAGTGGCTTCACATGGCACAGAAATCCAGGGTTCAGTGAGGGTTAAACAAACCATGGGTTCTGTGGGGATTGTTTATCTTTTGCACAACCTACTGTTCACAACCCACCATGACTTAAATAGCCTGTTTGATCATGCAAACTGATCCACTATCTGCTTCTACAATCTTCCATTTTCCCTCCTCATTCAGGTTCTTTCTTATTCAGCCTTTATTATTTCTTTTTCAAGGAATGTTCAACACTTTCAACCTCCTCATGCCATTAGGTTTTCCTGCCATGTAATCTTACTTATTGTTGC